CCAGACTGAAATAAGTCAATAAGTCGTTTTGATAAGCAATCCCAAACACCCCCTAAGATTTGTTCCGCTAAAATTAAAAATAGTCCAACCTTGTCTCATGTTTTTTTTTACCATGGCATGCCAAACATGAGACTATTTTTTTTGTCTCGTCCTATCCCATGTAGTCTGCATACCAAACGCACCCTAAGGGATGGAGATGGAAGCGGGGTTCTTTTTTGTTATTGAGGATGAGATTGTTTGTTAAAAAAATGGTATTTAAGTAAAAAGTTTGGTGGAATGTAAACAAGTGCCCTTCTCAAGCTGTCCAAATAAGCTCCTGATTTATAGATTAAGCCATAAACGAACAGTTATTAATGGCTGAGCAAATAAGTTGTATGGACTATACAACCTAATAAGCCACAACCGAACAGCCTTTTTATTGTTATCTAAGAGATTATATTGTCTTTGCATCCTTCGTTATGGATTTACTATTTTCAGATAAAAGATATTGGGATGTCAAGAATGCTATTTTTTTATTAACTTAGATATCTAACTTGTCATACAAGATGACTAATCCCACAGTGGCCTCCTGTTTTGCGGATAGCTTGCAATCACTGCATTTGAACTTTTGTGGTCACAAGAGGATTTTTATTTTTCTTTGGATCATCAGATATTTTTGACCTTTAGAGGATAAGCTCAAGTTGAGGGTAATACCCTTGTGGTTGAGTGCGATAGTTATACATCGGAATGCGACATTAATAAGTTTGGGTTATTATAATGTACGAAATATGTAATTAGACGATATTTTTGACTCGTTAGTTTTATAAATTGGTTTGTAGTTATATTTGTGTTGCATATGCTTATGTTTATATTTGATCCAACTAGAAGGGTACTTGCACAATGTAGGCGAGATACATATTGATTTTAATGTTTTATTTTATTTTTTCTGTTTCTGTTGTATAATACAATTTATGTGATTTTGAGGAAAATAACATTTTTATTTTTTTAGTAAAAATATACTTGAAAAAATATAAAAAAATTCATTTTTTTACATTTTTTTAATTTAATTTTTTATTATAATTTAATTTAAGTCAAATAAAGAAGTAATTTTTTTTGACTTAACAATATAATTTTTATAAAGATAACAATTTTGTTATAACTCATTGGTTATTCTAATTATATTTTGAATTTTATATATTTAAAATGGATGTTTATCCTATATTTTATTATGTTTATTTGCAGTTAGTTATACGAATTTAAAAATGAAGTTTTGATAAATTGTACTTACGCAAAATTACTTGTAATCTTGAATTTTAAGTAATATGCATCAATAAACAATATTTCATGTATAAAAAATGGTTTTTAAGATTTTTTTGTTAAATATTTTATAATATAGTATAGATAAAATGGTAATTTGTGTAATTTAATTTGTGGTTAAACTTGTAAAGAGTAGTAACTCACCTCTATTTTTGCTTTTTATTAATTATCCTTGTAAACCGACTACGATTGTGCAAAAAAGTTATTCAATCTATTTGCAATTGCTATGTCATAACTATATATCTAATTATAATTGAACAGATTTAGATCCAGATTTTTAACATTCATATTATATTTCAATAAACCGAACCAACCTGATCTAATTACCATCTAATTAATAAATATATATAACTTAAATAATCGATAACAATATTTAATTGATGAAAACTAACCGATCAAATCATCTATTGAATTGGAGTGTATAACAAAATCCAACACCTACATATATCAATTGTATTTCAACTTGATTTAATCTACCAATTTAGTCCCTGTGGTTTGTCAAAAATAACTTTTTTCATCTTTGTAATTTTAAAATTACAAAATGGTTATTAGGGTTTGTAAAAACGTCCAGATTTGGGCTATGTCTTTAACATGAGTTAAATACATGGACATTTTCATTCTTTTATCCAATTTTTGTCCTTTAACTGAGCTAAATTATTTTGATCACTATGGTTTTTGATTGGGTAGAAAACAAAAATAAGTCGATAAAGAGGCAAAAAGAGCCATCATTTAACATAATTTTTTAACAATCTTCAAAAGCAAGAATCAAATCTAGACGTTTTTACAAACCACAATGGTTATCCTATAATTTCAAGACTACATAGACTAAAAATGTTATTTTGACAAACCACAAGGACCAAATTTGTAGTTTACTCTTAAATCTATTTATTATAAAAAATGGCTTATTACCGGTTTGGCACACCGGTATAAACAGTTTTAGTTTTCCTCATCCAAACACTAGCATTTAACTCATCACCGATGTCAGACTGAAATAAGTAAAAAAAAAACACCTAAAATAAGCAATTCAAAACACCTCTTTACTGAAGTGACAGGCCTTGTGAGTTCAATCCAACAAAATAGACCAGTTTTTCCATTTCTTGATGTTTAACATAACAGATTTCTTAACAAGAAGTATCATAAAAACAAAACCACCATTCTTTCATAGAAGAATAACAGCAGATTTACAGATTCATGAAACATCAAACTGTTCAAAACACAAGATTGGCAAAATCCTAACGTTTTCCCAACAAACGTTTGCGTGCAATCAAACGTCTAGAATTCAAGCTGCCCGATGTTTCCTCCTCACTATCTTCGCTATCCAACACAATCACTCCCTCGGAATCACACAATCCTTCTTTTTCTTCCAAAATCCCGTCATCCGATCTTTCACCATCATGTTTTAAACCACTTTTACGTAGAATTTCGGCATCTGCTGTCAAATTCAAGTCATGTGTGTGCTTTTCTTCGAGTACTTGAAGTGGTTTTCGTGGTAGTTTTGTAGGATTTGTATTCATACCCTTTTCCCCGAGTTTGCCTTTACTTCCTCCCGAACCCATGTTCCACTTCTTGTCATTTTCTCTATTCGGGGCTACGCTTGAGAACCCGAAAGATGGTTTTTTACCCGTCAAACCTAGCTTCTTTCGCTTGGGGTTACTCAAGCAACTTCTATCAGTGGCTTCCTTTTGAATCTTTAGATCATTATGTGCAGAAAGCACAGAAGAAATCGGGTCATCAGTTCTTTTGATGGAAGCCAAGATTTCAGCTTGTGTATTCTTGCCAGAAAGGCAGAGTTTTGTTGAGCTAACAACTGTTGGTTTGTGATCCTGATGATGATCGAGTGGCTGATCGGGAAATTGATCATAGTGGTTGGTAGAAGATATTAGAGGGATGCTTTGAGGGTTCATTACATACTTGAATTGCGTGTCTTTTGAATCTTGTTTTCGTTCTTGAATTTGCGACTGGCCATGGATGGTGTTCGAAGGTGCCTCGTTCATCCTCGTGTCAACCTCCTTCGTGTTTGATCCAGAAGCATCCAATGACAGTTTTCGATTGGTCCCGGAAAGCTTTTTAAGATCAACAGCATACTCGTGTGTATCAATCTTCGCTAGTTCGGTTGGTTTATCTTCTGTCTGCAGGAAGTAAAAACTAAAACATTAACACAACTATTCATTGTTCACATCATCAATTTCCACTTGTTTTCTGGTGTTTGGATTCTTAATATCTAATATTTAAGAAAGCCACTAAAATTTTTCTGAGAAATTGTCCAAAATAGCCAATCAGACCTCCCCTCCTCGCTTTAAGCCACATTTTCAAGAAATTGATCGAAATTGCCTGAGATTACAACTTGCATAGCCCACTTTTTCCAATAAAATAAGAAAAAATATACATTAAGCAAGTTGCATAAGTGCTACTTGCATAACCCACTTTTTCCAATAAAATAATCAGAAAAATTAGATATTAAGCAAGTTGGATAAGCGTTGCTTGCCTAATGTGTACGTGGTTTGTTTGTAGACATGCCATCTAGACATTACGCAAGTGGCACTTGCACGACTTATGTAATGTTCAATTTTTCTGATTATTTAGTGCCCCTGCTTGGAAATTTTTATATCTCAGGTTGAACCATAGTTGTTAAAAGAACACCTAGGCTCTAAGGCTCATAAGGGTCAAGGTCTTGGCCTTGGGTTTTTTCAAAATCAAGGCAAGGTGTATTCACGAGGCTCACTAAGGCCCCGCGCCTTGCCTGAGACACCTTGTCGGTCTAGGCTCGCCTCGAGTTATTAAATACCAAGTCAAACCCCAATATTGAATAAGTTTTCTCATCTTCTTATTTTCTAGATGTCTTAAAAAAAAGAGATTAAATAGATGATATAAGTCAAACCCTAATATTAAACACCTCGTTCTTATAACTTCAAGCTCCTTTCTCTATAAATACCCAGACCTTAAAACTTCTCCCTCATGGCTCGTGCTCTAAACCCTTCTCCCTTCTGCCTTTATCGAAGTATTGTTGGTTGCTGCATTGAAGGCTTGTCCTTGCTACATATTTGAGTTGTGTGTAACTGTGTGTGTGTATAAACTTTTTTCTTATAAGATGCGCCTCACATTCCTGAGGCCCGCACCTTGTGCCTAGGCCAGGGACCCTTCGCGCCTAAGTGTACCTTGAGCCTTTTAACAACTTTGGGTTGAACACAAATAAAGCAACACATGCATACCATGCTTGAATCTGTAAGAACCTGAAGCCCAGCATGATTTGGACTTGCTTCTGACCGGGCATGTTTTTCAGTCATAGATCGCGCCTTCTGGTCAAAGACTTGTTTGTTGTATTTATACTCCCTACTCTACATTACAGCAAATAAACATATAGTGATCAGTACTTATATAACACCATGTGTATGTATTGTTGACAAAATTGGTCTGAATTACTTGCAGCAAATTTACTCACCGCTTCACACATTAGACCATCATCAGGGTTGGGTTCACTCAATAACAACCCAATGCTCGTTAGAACAGTTGAAATGTTTAAAGATGGCTGCCATGCACCCTGATTCAATATTGAGTTAGAGATTCAGACTACCATTTAAGACAATTCGTTTTGCCCCGAATGGAGACTATATGGCTAAAAGTCGCAAAATCTAGATAGATCATATATACATAGGAGTTGTAAACCTGTTAACAGTTGTGAACCGGGGGATAAAGAAGAGTGTGCTATGTATCTCGTACATTCATGGGTTATTCATCATGAATGTGTATTAATTTATCATGGTGTATCATTTATTATGAATAGGTCATGAATATTCACCTTCATTGTTCAAGATGAATGTGGACAACTGGGGACACGTGTCATGCTTTCTTTTGTCCACTGTTCACAACCGAACACGGGTTTGCAACCACACCCCCCCCCCTCCTCTGTGTGTGTGTATATACACACACACATATATGTAACAATGAACTAATGGGTATATTTAGCAACTCTGATACTATCTTCAGACAGGATCCAATCACAGCAAAACAACCACAGCTTTGATTCCAGTTTTCCACATATCAGTTAACAGTTTTCTTGAAGCAAAAAAAATCATCAATCTGCTTAGCTTAAGAAGTAAGAACTCACCTTTGGAGGGAGGTTAAGAATATCGAGACAGATTCGCCCTCCTGTATCAATATTTGGATGATATATAGGAGTGCTAAATGTTACAATCGGTGGCTGAAAAGGGTACCTAAAAAATCACCCAAATCCATCTACATCTTTCACACAGACAAAACAACAAACACTTGGTCTACATAACAAAAAGAACCCTTCAATCATCGATCATTACCTTTCGGGTATCTGAACCTTTATCTTAAAAACCCCCTTTTCATAAACAGTGCCTTCAGGACCCTCGATCTCTGTTACAGAAACGAAATTAACGATTATTTAAGCGTAGAAAAGTGGCAGATGCATTATGATGAATAGAAGAATGTGGATAGGAGTAGATGTGAAGTACTTACGGGCATCAATGGCGGTGAGTGAGAAGGAAGAAAGATCGGAGGTAGGAGAGAGGGTAGGGAAAGAAGCGCCGGGAGGTGGATCGGTGATGAGGAGTTTAAGTTCTTTTTGCATTCGGAGATTGAGTCTTGCGGCTTGAGCCATTATCGATTTCCACAGCTTTTCCGGTGATTGATTGTTGAATCTTCGGTTTTTACTTGCCAAATATTCTAGACTTCAAATTTAAGCTTTTGGAGGTAAAGTTTAATGGCGCGCTTCATCAAATGCTATTTTAACTTCAAATTTTGGTGTCTCATTGGTTTGAGCTTTTTAACTCTAAAAGTCAAAAAGTATTAGGAGATCAAAGATTCAAATTCAAAGAGAAATAAAAGTTCTTTTATGACCACGAAGGTTCAAATGCGGTGACTCTGGACTATCTGCAAAGCAGGTGGTCACCTTGTAATTAGTCGGCTCGCATAACGGGTTAGATATACAGATTAATTAAAAAGTATTTATTAATGACTTGTAAAATAAAGGTTAGAGGATGTTTACTACTTGGTTACTGTCTCTTACCAGATAAGAGGTGCTTATCCAGTTGTAGATGAAGCTATTCACCACGGCTTTGTTTGTTTTTTTAGAAAAAAAAAAATTCTTATTAGCCTCTTATGTCTTATTCGTTAAGAGATAGAGTCATTCAAACTGTTTGTTTTTCCAATTTTTCAGAGGCATTTGTATCTTATTATCCTCATATCTGGTAAGAAGTAAACGAAGTTACGAACCTCTTATTTGCCTCTTATTATTCTCGAAACCTTTAGTAACGACATTTCTCAATCGATTAATCGTAATCGATCGTTTCTCCCAATTGATCAATTATCAAATTGATCCCTACATCTCTCCGTTGGTGAATTCTACTACGATTTAAATGTGTTAGATACCTTAGTGGCATATTTTTAGTTTTATTGAATGGTAATTATATAATTCAAATATAAATTCCGTAATTATAACGAATAAATATGTGAAATTGTATAGATTTATTTATAAATTCAACATTATAATTTTTAATTGGTAAAATAGACAATTTAAACAAATTCAGACAGTAATCAGTTTGCAAAAACAAACAGTCTTATTGATTCAGATTTCAGACTTCAACACAACCTCTTATTAATCAGAAGTGAAATAAGACTTCAGGCTTCAGCAGCTCTTACAAAAACAAACGTCACCCAAGCCTCACTTAAGAAGGAGCTAGTCATTGAATAGTGCTAATTCAAACCGCATTCTTATCTCGTCCACATTTACCTAATTTATAACGGTCACAGGGACGGATCCATAATTTTTTTTAAACGATGACACTATTTGACTATAAGAAAAAAAAATATAAGGAAAAAATTTCAAATAGTGGCACCGTTTGACTATAAGAAACAAATATACAGTTTTTTTTTCAAACGGTGGCATCATTTGACTAAGAAAATGACACTAACAAGATTGGAACTTGGGTCAAGGGTGGAATAAAAGCCTTGCAAACGAACTTTACAAAATAAAATTTGTTCTCATTGTAGTTTCAAAATACACACGGTAGCACACAACAAATTAATACAGTTGCACATTTCACGAACCTAATTTTTTTTTACTCTACGACGGAGGAATAATATAGTGGCACATGCCACCGTATGCACCACTATAGGTCCGTCCCTGAACGATTAATCGTTCAAACTTAACATCACGTGTTAGTCTCGATAATCTGTTTTTAAAATGTAATATCTGATATTTTTGATTTAATAAATCCTTTTATATTGTCAAAATAAATTCTAGACCAATGTGCATATACCCAAATGAAGTAATATCACCCACTTGGTAAGAATCTAGCTCAAGATTGTTACTTTGTTAGGTACAAAATTTAAGTGATTTTCCATTCACTTTTGTGGTGTTTGGTTAAGGGAATTATATCCCTTTTAATCCCCATAAAATATTTGATTTGAAAATTTATGAAAAACTGTACTTCGGACCTAATCCTACTTAAATAATTTCAGTTCATTTTCAAAACAATTCAATCATTGTCGTGACTTACCAGTGCTACTTGACAACATGTTGACCAAGACTCTATCGAATTTCGACCTTTTAAACCCACAGATAACTGTCATTGGTTTGTAAACCATGGATTCAACCATTGCAGGAGTGAAGGGAAACGGTTCAAGCAGGGTGAGGGTGGGAATGGGATGAAGCTCGACCTGTATAATCATGGGTCTACTTCGGCCATGGTGGATGAGTTGTCGATTTAGTAGGATAGAAGGAAGAAAGAAGAAGGTGTGACTTTTGTACAATAGAGATCTCTACTGAATTGGTACGTAGGACGAGATATGACAAATCAAAAACATGTTGTCCCACTTTTAACTGATATTAGACTGGGACATGACGAGACTGATTAAGACAAATATTGTCTCACCGAATAGGTTGAACAAATATCAAGAAAACGCGACAAGATTGGTAAATTACCAAATTACACATGTCAAATTAAAACCCTAAAACCTTCCACAATTCTTACACTCACCTACTTCACTCTTATTTGTATATTCTAGTCCAGTCCAATACCATCCACGTACCAGATGCACCTTAAGTATGGTATCGTGTTCGAAGAAACAAAATCCAAATATCATCAACTTATCTTTGGGAGACAGGGACACTACGATTTTCCTTCCCCATGATATCCGTGTTACCGATTTGATAGAAGTGCTCCATATGGTGACGTATCCCATGTTCAAAAAAACGATCATCTACGTTATTAACGATAATGATTTTTCGATATCAACCGAATAAAAAATGATAGACTAATGATTGGAAGAATAAGTAATCAAATGATGCAAACAATTCCCCAAGCTTTTGCACCAACCCAAAAGTACTTTTATCCCACTTCACTTACACCCACCATTTTTTACCACCTTTTTCCCGCCAAAAACAACTGTCATCCCCCATTTATTACTGTCATACCACCACCTTCTTTCTCTTCAAACTAACACACACACACACACTACACACAGTGGCTTGGCTAACCATGAAGGCTGCTTCCAATCTCATTATGTGGTTAGCCATGGTTCTACTGGTCAGCCTAGCCATGGTCTTGGGTTTAGTCTTGCTTCTCTTAGCTGAGCTCTACTGCTCTCCCCTCATCAGCCGCTGCTGCTGCCACCACCACCTTCAACCAACCACCACCACCGGAAACGACTCCGATGGACATTCTCAATCCCACTCAGATGCTTCTCCTTCACCTCTTCATAGCCTTACCACTCCTACTGATACTAGTGATGACATAGAAAAACAACTCCATCAGCCGCCGGAAAATCAAGATTCCGGCAGAACCCAACACCAAGATAAGTCTGGTCAAGGTAAGGTGGCAACCGGAAAACGTTGCTCAGGTGATTCTGTTAATGGGTGTTCAATTGTTTACATTTCTAATCCGATTTTTGATGATGAGAATGGAAGGGGAAGTACGGTGGCCGGTGATGATGATGATGATGATAAAACTCCGTTTGAGACACCGGACACCTCACCATCCCGGTTGGAGACGGAAGATTCCTCCGGCGATGAGGAAATATCATCAAGTAGAACGCCGTTAACACCCATGAAAAAGCTACCGGCGGGGGCGTGTACGGTGGCTCAGAAAGATGGCGGTCGGTTGATGGGGGCTTGGGGTAGTGACACCAATAGTAAGAATGATGTTTCTTCTTCTTCTTCATCAACTCCTTCTACTTCCCCTTCATTGTGACTTCCAAATTTAAATTCCAAAAGTAATAAAAATTGCTTATTTCTTGTGAGGAATGGTCTTTGTAACCATGTTTGTTCCCTTTTGTAAACATAGTCAAATATCCGATATCATCGGGGGCAACAAATCCGATATCATCGGGGGCGACAATTTTGTACCAAACAAAACCAACCATGTGTATCAACTGTATCGATTAAGATGGTACCAACTTAATTAGTACTAACTACATTGAAATATTTGCAATTAAAAACCCTAAACATCACACGTGTCATGTGAAAACTCAAAGAGTCACTTGAAAGTTGAACATAATGACAAGTTTTTACATACGTAATTAAAGTGGTACAAAACTGATACCAACATGTACCAACTGTAAAAAGTTGATATCAAACACAGTTGGTTAGTACACGGTAATACCATGACAAAATTTAGGCCACGTGCACCTCACGTGGGCATTTTAGTCTTTTTCTTCATAACAAGATCATCAAGAATGTTAAGAACATCCAAAATTTATGTAATTTCGCAAAAGGATTGTAATGCAAACCATAAATCGAACCAAAATGCACTCACGTGAGGGACGCAGTTCCACTTAACGGAAGGCGTTTAAGGGTCGTTAGGGTGAAAGACCGATTCTATAACAAATGCAAACAATGGAGAAGGATTTGTAATACGAAAAGTATAGCGAAAACCAAAACTTGTTTTGGACATCAGTAATATGGCAAAGACGACTGTGAGACATCAGTTCTGATAAACTTAATGGTCACAATTATTGTGAACGACTGGAATAAACCCAAAGCAAATGGGATATTCCACTATATCCCCAGGACCTCAACCACTATGTTACAACCCTAATAGTTCAGGATCACTTTCTATAAATGAACTTTGTTCCTCCCTTGAAAAATAGAAATTTTTAATAAAGGTGTATCTAATTCATATGAAAGTGACACATGATCTAAAATGCTTATACAATGATATTATGCAGTAAATAATAATCATAAAGTAATAAAAAGATGGGAAAAAAAAACTTCTCTTATATATGTTATTATGTAAGTCTATTTTATAACTTTTGAGTTCTTGTGAGACCAACCTGTTTTCGTAAGACATGTGAGACCACAAAAACAACAATAAACCTTCACAGTAAAGCACTATGAAGGTAAAAAGACACTGAACCTTCACAACAAAAACATTATGAAGGTCTACCTTCAAAGTGTTTTTTGCTATGAAGGTTCAGTGTTATTTTGTAGTCTCGCACGTTTCACGAAAACAAGCCGGTCTCACATGATTTCAAGTCTCCTTCATGTTACATGTTCAGAACACAAGACAAGACAGTACATATAATTTATTGCCTTGAAATTAGACTAGGACAAGATTTGAGTGAGATAAAGGTGCATTTAAAACCCTAAGACGTAAATTACAAAACTACCCATGTCAAATTAAAATACTAAAACCTTCTACGATTCTTTCACAAGTCTACCTCACTCTCACTTATTCAGTCAAGCCCTGCCCACATACCAAAGTACCCTTCAACCCTTGTAAGTTCTATTGGCTTGGTAGTACAATACTAGAATTTAAGGAAATTGACCAAAATAGTCAATCTCCCCGACCAACTTCTCTTTTAGCCACTTTTTTCAATCGAAATTCCCATTTTAGCCCGATTATGCAAATGTCTTGCGCATTTGCGTAAACTCGAATTTTTCAGATTAAAAAAAAGAAAAAAGAATTTTTTTGTGTAAGGATCCAAATTTTTGCATAAAGAATCCTTACGCATATGCATTAAGGTTTTTTTTTTTTTTTTTTTTTTTTTTTTAAGAAATGCTTCTTTATAATTCTAAGGATCGATTTAGCACAGCGGCCCTGATTGCTTAATAAAACTTTTTGAGATAATTATTAGGTTTTTTTTTTTTTTTTTTTCTTTTCAAGAAATAAGTCATTACGCAAATGCGTAAAGACGGGCCATCTTAAAAAGAAGCTTTGAAAAATGGCTAAAAGTGAATTTGATTGATGGGATTGACGATTTCGGTCAGTTTCCATAGAATTTATAGGGAGGATTCAACCTTTTCAGGTTTCTAAAGTAAAAAGATGAAAGTGAAAACAGGGTTGTTGTTTTGTTGTGGAAACATAGGAAAGCCAAAACAAAAGTTACTACTGACCTTCTCCATGTGATGCCTGCCTGCCTGCAAACCTTCAACCCTTTCTTTATATCTTGTTATCCAAATGACCAACTTTGACCACCAATCTTGGTCAACAAAATCCACATCTGCATGAAAGACTTGTACTTTACGCATAAATGACGATCCAAACCACTTGGGTTGAGGCGCACCGGTTAAGACTCAGAGGATGTAGTGGAAATGTCATCTTCCCCATGTTCGAATTCAGATGTTGCCAAAGTTTTTGTAGTCATGAGGTTCACCTACGATGCCTCTAGTCAATCATGGTCACCCGAAGGATTAGTCAGTGCATGTAATACCCACAAAAAGACGGAAAAAAATGATGATACATCTGGACATACCTGATAGTCTTGGGAGGTAGGATGCTTATAATACATTATTCCTTTGTTGTACTATATATGCAAATTAATACTCGGTCTGTCTTGAAATAAATGTCCACAATAAAAGACACACAGTTTTAAAAACAACTGCATTTTGCCTGCTTGCTTTTGAGTCTGACTCTACCACCAACAGTAAAACGACTATATATATATATATGTATGTATGTATTATAAGGTTTGTGAATGTTTGTTGCACAGAAAAGGCTACAATAATTAATAGAGAATTAAGTAGCTATGAATTAAGTTGCATTGTACATCATATATATACAGTCTATATATACACGGAATACACCTCAATACGTGCATCGTATTTCAGCTCTGATGTCATGTCCCCCCGTCAAGTAGTCACATTTCTAGAGAAAATATACGATGAACAATTAGCATATAAGCAAATACCCAATAAACATATACGAATTTCTACTGTTTTAAAGTTTTTATGACAAAATGACCTATTTGCCCCTGGCGGGTAAGATGAACGCGGACATGTCCTCTATCTCAGATAGTAGAGCAACTGTTTCCGTAAAAACTCTGTTGTGTGCAAGAGTGTGAGCAAACATTTGCAGGTACTTTTAAATATTTTGGCAAATGGTGAAAACATATTTAAGAAATATGTGACTACTCAAACCTTACGAAATTTATCGAACAAGTAAAGTTTATGATAAACTTGAAAATATACAACTTACAACGGACTGGAGTTTCATGAAGTGCAGCAGAATGAACTTCTTCCTTTCTCTTGTGTTACGCTTTGTAGTTTCATTCCACTCGGATTTGAAGGGGCAGCTTGTGCAACCCTCTTTGCTGCAAAACGAGAGGGTAATGTTGTAAAAAATTTAAAAGTATAATATATATACGGCAAATACTAATCCACGCTCCTCACTTTTAGTGAGGTTTGAAAACTTGACCTCTAAGGAGACTGGCCTGGGCTCTACTGGTTACTTGGGTACCACTGTTGTAAATTGATGCAGCACAAAACCCTGCACCGACAACCTGGCATGCGATCTATATTAAAAAATAGGCTTGCAGCGCCACGTCGCTGGAGCAAGTCACACAGCTCAGTGGCATATGTTTGTAATTTTTTTCGAACTCGTGGTACAAGATTTGCAATGTAAGGAATTGGATCTCGCGACCTATGCAGGTCGTCAGACCAACTTGCCAACCAGCTATTTCGAGAACCGGGTGACCTGGGCTCATGAATCATGATGCCAGGTTGCCACACTAGGTCGTTGAATCCTACAAGTTTTAAGTAACATTCAACTCACGTCTAACTAATAATACATCAATTTCTCTCCCTGTGGAAGTACACCATCATATCGATACCGTTAAGTCCCAGTGTCTCGTTTTATGTGCCATTTTTACTATTATGTATTTGTGATTGTTTTGGATTGCTTATTGTGAATGAATCCCCTGTCTCTAGGAATAAAAAATCCCATAAAGACACGTGTCTTTCCACGTGATTGGTCGACTGGGAGGGGACATGAGATTTGAGAACATAAATTTTTTTATTCCATTCCTAGACCCGTTATTTCCGCATTGTTGTATTGAACTTGTTCACATTTGGTTGTGTTTACGGTGGATGCAATATGAAATGAGATAGTTCATGGAAATAGTTACCTATTTCATAGAAGAGCTCGTTTATGTTCTCGCCCGTTTTTGCAGAAGTCTCAAAAAAATGCAACCCATTTTCTATAGCGTACCGCTTCCCCTCCTGCAACGATCATAAAACACGATAACGTTTGCATACCGCACAAAATATATATGACACAACTAAAGAGATCAATTAGCGGGTAAATGAAAATTAGAAGGTTTACGAAAACACAAATGGATAGTAAAATACCTCAATCTGAACCTCTCTTTTTGTATCCAAGTCTGCTTTGTTGGCCACCAAAACCTTAACCAAATGTGGGTCCCCTGCAATAACATATACCGAGTTCGTTTGGTCTGGTTTTAACCGTATTTAAGGTGCCTTTTGAATCACTTGCTAAGAAGGCAATAAAGGAGAGGAAAAACTGTATTCTTAGGTCCTGTTTGGTTCGTAGGAATGGAAAGGATTTGGAGGCATTTGGAATTCAAATCCATTCCAATCCCGTGTTTGGTTTGCATGATTGCTCGGATTTGAAATCCTTCAAACATAGGATTTTGAAATCTCATGGGGATGGTTGGGATTTCAAGGGATTCGAAGAATTTGTATATAACAATGTTTTGAAATATGTTAAAAATGTTTGTTTTCCAATAATCAATCAATAATAAGGTAATTTAATTATTTTTATAATTGTTTGCAATTTGTTTTACAAATTATCTAAAAAGAATGGAATTCAACTCGATTCCAAATCCTAAAACCAAACACACCAAACATTCCAAATCCTTCCATGAAATCCGATCTCTCCAAACCATTCCATCAAACCAAACTCCCCTTATTCTCTAGCATGCTCAAAGCCGATCCTGAGGTTTTTGGTGCTATTCAAAAGTGCCTCTATTAAAAAAACACAATATTTTTGGGGTTTGCAACAATGTGGAACAATGATGGTAGACCATCTCCAGTTGTTTGCATAATTTCATGCACCAAAGTGGGGTAAATTTTGGTGTAAACAGTAATTCTTGCACCAAAATCGTGTAATATTTGAGTTCGAATCTTGTTGCAAAAGCTTTTCTTTGTTTATTCTAAGTAATGGCAAGGTAGCGGTACATGGGCTTAGTTGATGCCCTTTGAGTTTGGGATGCCCTTGGCTAGAGATGCACAAGGTCCGGGCTTTTTCAGGCATGGGCCTAGACCTTCAAGCCCATTTTCAAAGAGCATAAAAGGCCCGGCAAGTTTTAGGCCCAGACTGGGGTTTTGGGATTCAAAAGGGCCCGATCAGGCTTTTTCATGTCAGGGTTTTTTGGGCTTAATCGGGCTTTTTTGGGCTTAACCAAGCTTTTTCAGGCTTTTCCGAGTCAGGCCTAGGCCCGGGCCACCCCCCAAAATTTTGGTTTGATCAGGCTTTAAGGCCTGGCTTGGACTGTGCTTCGTGCTCAGTAGGTGCAGGCTTTTCCGGGCAAAGCTTGGATTTTTTTGTGCATCTCTATCAGGGCCATATTTCAGGCCACCACTGCCTCCCCTAGGGTTGAGCCTGAACTTGCTATTGTATGAGAGAGAGGTTACCTTGTCTTTGTAGTTCCTCAATCCATTTCTTTGCTCGCTGAAAGGAAACCTGCAGCCAGATGATATTAGTTCTTTTTCTTTTCTTGTGGGGGAGGGGTAGTTATTCACATATGCATAAGGTTCAAATGTGAAGCAAATCAGATGAGAAATTGAAACTGTAATTTCTATCATCACCGTAGAATAGCATGCAATAGCCTCGAAACTAAACAAATGTTTGATCAGAAGCTTGTCATTACCATGGTGGTGATACCATAAATCACAACAGCAGCAGCTGCACCACGATAGTACATTGGAGCTAAGCTATGATAACGTTCTTGTCCAGCCGTGTCCCATATATCAAACTTTACGCTACTTTTATTTATCGATAAAACCTGTGTGAAAAATGCGGCTCCAATCGTGGACTCCTGTCAAGTGTCAAGAGCAACTAACCGGTTACTGGTAGGGGTGTTAATGAGCCGAGTTGAGTCAAGTCGAGTTAGTAAGTTGTTCGAGCTCGGCTCCAAAAAACAATAACAGGCTCGAGCTCGAATATTTTTTCAATGTTTAAGCTCAAGCTTGATGTTCGTTTAACAAATTTGAATTATACATTATACCCAAAAATTCAAGTTTTATAAGCTTGTTTACAGACTCAAACTCGAGATCAATTACCTTGTTTATTGGCTTGAGCTCCATAACTTTGTACTTTAATTATATAATCTATGAGCATATGAACATTTTGGCTCAAAAAAGCGCATCCTCGAATGGCTTGGCTCAACTCGACTCGAAAAATTTAACCGAGCTTTCAAACAAATGAGTCCATTGGTGTTATGAAGCTCGACTCACTAAGTTAAAAGAGCTTTATTTTGTATTCGAGATCGACTCGAGCTCAATAATTATTGAACTCGTGCTAAACGAACTTGAGCATGAGTATGTTAAAAGCTTGAATTGTTAACACCCTCTCGTTACCGGTAATAATAGAGCTTGAAAGTGTCATACATGAAAGCGAACCTGATACTCATAAAATTGGCCTTTTACAAATCTCATAACCATACTTGTTTTCCCCGTTCCCATGTCTCCGAGGAGCACCTGAAAAGACATTATGTCATACTTTAATCGTCAAAAATGTCTAAATGTCATAATATTAGATATAAAAATGGGGCGGGAAAATGTTCCGCCGACCCCGACCGCCTAACCCATCGGGGGCGAATATCCCTGATGGTACGGGAACCCGTTGAGGGAAAAAAGTAATTATGTATTTTAAAATGAAAAGAAAAAGTAAGTTCTTAAATTCCGAAACAAACAAATAAATCTCAAATTTCAAAAAGAAATAATGACATAACCAACCACATATAATCATAGTTCATGAGATGGATGATGGATCTAAAAGTTAAATTATTAAGTAACAGAAAAAAGAAATTAATCTAATTATATCTTAAAAGATATCCATAACGGGAATTATTCCGACCCCGAACCCGCTTCGGGTATTATTTAATTTGTAACTACAAGTGTATAAAGTGTAAGCATTAAAAATAAGTAGATGGCTACACACACAATGTAGCGAGATACATCTCGATTTTAATATTTCGTCTTTTCTTTGTTTCAATCGATGTTATAATATGATTTTATGTGGTTTTGACATGGTGTAATGTTCTTATTTTTAAATAAAATATAAATATGAAGATATGATTAAAAAAATTTGAAAAAAAATATTGATGTTAAACTATTTAAAATTTCTCCCTTTTATGTTTATTTCTTTAATTTTTTTATTTTTGATTTAAAAATATAATTTTTTTATAAAGATAATAATTAAGTATTTTGTTAAAAGTTAATAACTATCTTAATTATATTTTAGATTTTTTATATTTAAAATGAGATGTTTATTCTTTATTTTATTATGTTTATCTGCAGTTAGTTACATAAAACTTTAATAAGTTGTACTTACGTACAATTTACTTGTAATCTTGAATTTTAAGTAATATGCATCAATAAACAGTTGCATAAAACATGGTTTTTAAAAGTTTCAAATTCTTTATAATATAGTATAGATTTTTAAGTATTATAATATCTACGATTAAATTCAAAAATAGAAAAGTATTAAAGATTGTATAATTTACAAAGACATTGATAGTTGCTCTAAAGGTGTCTGGATTAATATGTTTGTATAGATAAAGAAGTTTTTGTTTGTGAGGTTTACGTGTAAATATCGAATAAGCAGCCACTTTCTATATCATGCATAGCTTAAGCTCGTTAAGCTGCTAACAATCGGTCCGCAGCCCAGATAGTCGGATCAAAATTTAGGATTCGAATAGAGTTTCAAATACGAATTATATGAACATAAAATTTAGTAATCTATGGGAGCAAGAGGGCACAAATCATCGATGAACCCTAGCGCGAAAACCCTATGATGACAGAACATGTCCTTGCAGTACAAATCGAGTAATCAATGCATATGAAGATTCATAACATGAATTTTGAAGCGTGAATGTGTGTAAAATCCAAGGAAGAGGTACCTACCAGCTTTGCTTGTATGTTCTTACTGTTGTTGCCTCCCACCATTGCCAGATTGATATAGAAATTGACGGAAATTTCGACGCAGATCAGAGGGGGAAGAATCCTAGAAGAAAAATGATGATAATGGCGAACAAGTTGAAATGTTTAGGTATTTCGCTTTTATTTTTGAGTATCGACTGATACTCCACGTCAATGGCTGTCGCTACCGGCTTTAGAATTCCGATTCTTCAACGGAAACGTCCCTCCGGTCAAATTTGAGGTATCCCGACGGCGTCGCCACGTCGGTCAAAAGGGGAGTTGTTGCGTGTGAAAAAGTTAGAGTGAAGTATGGATTTGGGCACCTATTATTTGGGATATTTTATGAAATTGGTCCTTTTAACTTTATTTATTACAAAATAGGATTTGTTGTTTGCGTTTTTATGGATTTGGTCCTTCACCATAGCCGTCATTCATCATTATTGTCATGTAGAGATGGCCAAATCGGCCCGGCCCGACCCGGGACTGCCGGAGGACCGGGACCAGGACTGACGAAGAACCGGCCCGGCCCGGAACCAGTAAGGACCGGTTATGGGACCGAAAACCGGGACCGGTTGAGTTTTTGGTAGTTTCGTGGGACCGGGACCGATTATGGGACCGACTATGGACCGGCCCGGCTCGGTCCGAAAATTCAAATAATTTTATAAATAAATGTATTTTTAAATAATATTATAATGTATTTTTATAAGAAAACGTAATTTTAATTATATTAAAACGTATTTTTAAAGTGTATTTGAGTGACCCAATTGTAAATTTTATAATGTATTAATAATATATATATCATTAAAAAAATAAAAAAAAAATCTTGATTTTTAATGCAAGGACCGGGACCGGAACCGGCGGCCCATAACCGGTTATGAAGTACCTTGACCGGTCCTATAATTTTCGACCGGGACCGGTTATGGCCGGTTATGAGAAGGTTAGGACCGATTGGGACCGGCCCGGCCCGGGACCGGTTTTTGGCCATCTCTATTGTCAGGTAGCTATAGGGGTAAACTAGTCATTTTACCATTTTTAAAATGACTTCACAATTTTCACTATTGTAAATGCCAAGTGTGTAAAAATCACCTCTCTCTCCTCGTAATTTATCGGAAGATGAATTTCTCTCTCTCCTCTCTTTCTCAAGTCTCTTCCTTCCTTCTCGATGTGAAACCCTTCATCTCATACATCTAATATATGCATGTATATAATCTTAAGGGGCTGCTTATTTGCAGCTTAATTAGGCTTATTGGTCTATCTGGCTTATTCGCACAGCTCATTTGAGTTGTTTACTTACGGCTTATTCGCACAGAACATGGCTTAATCGCACAGATAAAAATGGTGTGTTGTCCACATTCAGCCACAAAAATGACACCCCTAACCCTTATTTAAAGCATCGCCTCCTTCTCATATGAGACACCCCATCTTCGGCCTCTTTATGATTTTTTGTTTTGATGTCCAAATATTTAATATTGGGAGGTAAATCGATCATTTATGTTATTCAGACTGTTGGTTCAGATAAAAAAAAATAAACAACAACACCCATTTATCCAGACAGAAAAATTTATCCATACAGGACTTAATAAAAAAATTGGTAAACGACCCCTAAATGAGATTTTAATTAACCCACCTCTCTCTCCCTTTCTCTCTTTCTCACTTTCTCTACATCCCATGCATGCAACTATTTATTCCAATCACTATAACCATGTATTTCCTTACTGTAACCGTTATCTTTACCACTCTCACCATGATACCGCTTGAATCTTGCAAGTCAACACCAATAATTCCACCTCAACAGCGAAGCCTCGTGTGTTCTTCACTAATTAACCACCTCTGCAACGCCTTGTGACAGTGCTTCACAAATTGGTCAACCTCTATTTTCTCTCATCTCTCCACAAAACCAATAGCAAGATAAATATCTTCATCTGCAATCGTGTTTTTTTTACTCTCTCTCTCTCTCTCTCTCTCTATATATATATATATATATATATATTTGCGTGTGTATGCAGTGATCGATGGAGGTTGTGGTTACAGTAGGGGGGAAGGCTACGTTAACCATGGGGAGGGGAGATGGAAGAAGGTGATAATGGGAAGAGGGTGTATAATGAGGGTCGTGAGAAACACTAACGGTGTTCATCAAGGATATCTACAGCGACCGATCATGCATCAAGCTAGTGGTGTTCATCGGGAAAAGGGTGTACAATTGGAGGAAGGAACTTAAGTTTAAGACATAAAAACAAACCCCAAAAAAACACATGAAATCTTTTTAAACACTCAAGACAAAAACTAAAAAGACAAAAATAAATGGTGAAAAGAGTAAAATAACCACTTTGCCCCGTTAAGTTTAACAGAGATGATAGACGGCCATTAAGGTAAGGGACCAAATCTGACAAATAATACAAATGACGAGTTTTATTTTACAATAAATGAAGTTCACGTACCAATTTTGTATAAAACCCCAAATCATAAGGGCGAAATCCATAATTCACTCAAAAAACTTAATTGGAAAACAACTATGATTTGGATGTTTGCTTAAATAATTAAGTTGGTAAATAGAAATAAGAATGTGTTTTTAATGTAAATAAATAAATATTTGATCAAGAAAACACTATAAAAGGGTCACTTACCTGATGTTTATCCGGTAAGTATTTATCGGTGAGAGTCAATACTCTTATCTATTTTATCGTCTAAAATTCTAGTTCAAAGTGACATCGTATGCAACAATTTATCCAATAAAAGCTAATCGAATAAGATTCACTTCTACTTATCGGGTAAGACTCTCAGTCATTGTCATCGCTTTTACCGTTTAAGGTTTTAGACATTTGTCATGTACATCTGATAAGATAATGATCCAATAAACGATTATTGGATAAGCGTTTGATAAACGACATCTACGTTAAAAGACAATAACACTGTATTTGTATATGAAATATATTATATTTTAGATGTGGTCAAAATACTAGTCAAGCTTCAATAATTAGTAAAATGGAACATGTATGTTGTAATTGGTTTTAAACATAAAAATTTATTTAATTGAACTCTTTAAATAAATCACAAAAAATGTATCTAATTTTTGCTCTAAAAACTTATTTAGTTTTCTTCAAAATTTTACATTTTATTTATGAATATGATATCACTGTGTTACCACTATATTATACACGATGCTACATCTTCAAAGAGATTTAAGTTACATCCAAAAATCTTACCTTTTATGTGTTACATCTTTGACGATATTTGAGTTACATCTCCGACAAGATGTGGGTTACGTGCCCAATCTGAAATGAGATATGAACAAACACAAGAAACCGAAACTGATATGGGTGTGTAGAAACCAGATTTATTGGGATATGAAAAACCGAAACCGATCTGGGTTGTTCAACAAGAGGGAGTCGGGACGGTAAAGATGAGAGTTAAGGAGGTGATGTGTGGTGGTTGGAGATGGGCATAGAATAAGAAGTAGCGGTGGCCGGTGGACAGAGATGGCAGAGAAGGAGGCATCAGACGGTGTTGGGCAAAAGGGTTCCGAAGAGGAAACACGTTTTGGCCGGTGATGGGGAAAGAGGGTCACAGGTGGTGATCTCGTCAATTCGAATATATATGTATGTATATATATATATATATATATATATATATATATACATACATATCTATTTCAAAACTAGCATATTAAACTAATTAAAGTAAATTGAATATTCAATGCAATTTACTAATTTACCTTTCTACTTATTTTAAGAGATCATAATAATTATCCTAAATGATTGGTTCATGTTGGATCTCACGGTTATCACAAACTAAATAGTTTTCATTTGTTTAAGCCCTTATATATATATATATATATATATATAGACTTGAGATCATGTGAGACCAATGGTTTTTTATGAGACCCGTAATACCAATTCTTAACCCTTTGATTAGATATACAATCTGAAAATCTAAACATTCATAAACGTCACGAGACTTCTCAATAATCACAAAATTGCCACTGTATAATTTAGACCATTAGATCATTAACTTATAAAGTTGATCAATGAACATAAATTGGTCTTACGGGTCTCACGAAAAACCATTGGTCTCACGTGAACCCAACCCTATATATATATATATATATATATATATATATAATGAGAACTAAAGTTGTTTTATAAGGGTGTGTTTGGTGTCCAGACAGAACACGATAGGACAAGATAGAACAATTGTTCAATGTTTGGTAAGATAAAATTGGACAAAACAAAACAAGTAAAATGACCAATTTACTTTTAATCAGTGTTTATTTTAATTAATTTATGTAATTTATTAAATTATAATAAATTAATTATTTTTTATAACAAAATATATCATTAGAAAGTTTTCGTCAAAACAATTAAAATGACACCAAATAAAAAATTTATGTAATTTTCAATTTTTATTTTTATCTCTTTTCTACAGTATTTTATTATTATTAATACATAATAAATTACATAAATTAATAAAAATATAGAAACCATATAAAAACAATATTTTGAGGATAGTAAAATAAAAGTTTAGAAAACATAAAATACAATAAATAGAATTTAAAGAATGAATAAAATGTAAAAATAAGACCTATTTGATGTTTTAGAAAATAATTAATTTTTATTTTAAGGTTATATTGGTAAAATATAAGTCTGTATCACCTTGTTCCACCATGTTTCATGAGGTAGAGGTGGAACAGCCTTGTTCCACTTTGTTCCACTCCATTCCACGTACAATTCATGCTAAACATGGGATAAGGATCATTGTTCTATTTTGTCTAATGTACCAAAACGCATCCTAAAAGACTTGATATCTCATCTACCAAACATGTTTTAAGACCGTAAAGTCAGATATAAATTAAAGTGGACAATATCTGATACAATTATTTTGGGATGTTACAGTATATTGTATAAAAGTTATGATTCAATTCAAAGATATTGTTTAAGTTGCATAAATAGGATTATATGTTTATTACAAATTTATTAAATTATTTAACAAAAAATAGATCCTTCCACAACCACCTCCCCTATTATCATCTCTGCCGTGACGACGCTACCATCACCATCTGCAAACATTCAATTCAATCACAAAACCCTACATCTGTGGAGTTCAAGTGATTCGATAATTTTCTGCTTCTGATTGCTAGAAGATTCGATGAAAAGTTTCACTAGCGTTCTACTTTCGGTATCAAATTTCTGCATTTTCTACCTCTTATATTCGGGAATGTTATTATCTCACAATGTATTGCAGGAAATCGAATAAATAATTCACAATTGACTTCTCAATTCAAATAATCTGCTCTTCGTAACTAAAAATCTCGGATCCTGGTTGAGTGTAGTCATAATCTAATGTAATGAAATTGCTTAATCTGCAACCCGATCAGCAATTGCTATTGGTTTTGTACGAGATCAGAATAACATTTATGCATGCTTCTGTCCACCAATACATGTCATTTGAAACTAGAATTGTGCAGTCCTTTGTACTCCAATTAATCACTTGCTATGTGAATTTTTGTTAAATATTGGATTTCATTCCATTTGGTAAGAACACTTGGGTCAATATTTTGCTTGCAAAAAGAAGGTGAAAGAAATGGTATAAATATAGGGACCGTTTGGTTGGTTTTTCATTTAAGTCATGTATGAGTAAAACTGTCTGTGTAGATGTGTAGATTATCTCTCTATATAGACTAGGAAGATTTTATTTGACAGGTTTTTTTTCATAGATGGAAGAAACATGTTTTTTAATTGGGAGGGGCGGGTTTGGAAAAAACTTGACTTCCTACGTAAAGCTCTCCCTAGAAGCTTACTAAATAAGCCACTTTCTATATCATTAAGCCACTACCAAACAGTCATATATAAATGAAAGAATAAGTTGCGAGTCCCATTAAGCTCATTAAGCTACTAACAAACAGACCCAAATATCACAAATTTGTAATTTCTTTTAATAAATAAAATACCAAACCAAACAATCCCGGTATATCTCACCCTAAGGTGAGGCTGAGGGTTCGGAGGGTGTGATGTAGGCTGACCTGATTCCCACCCTATATAGAAAGGGAACTTGACTAAGAATACTCTTGAGGAACATGAAATGGAGGGTTGTCATGAGCTTAATGCTTCCTTCTGAAAGCTATATGTATAGAAAAGCTCAATCATTTTTCTTTTGTTTTCAAGAAGCTGCTTGAAACAATTATGGAGGGTGAACTTTTAATTGGTTTGAATTTAGAAGCATAAAGTGGTGGGGGCTACGACCAAAGTCTTTATCAAGTGTGAAGATTCCAGCTGACTCACTGTCAACCAGGACGGTTGTCTTTATCTAATATGTCGATTTCAGGCTGACTCATTGTCAACTAGGACCAAAGTCTCTCATATATTCATTACTAACGTTAAAGATTCATTACTAACGTTAAAGATGCAACCAGAACCACACTTGCATAGAATGCAATCCGGTAAGTTTAATTGCATAACGAACTACTATCCCGTTAGCTAGGACATAGGAACCCAAACATACGGTAAAATGACAGCAATTTGAACGATTTTGTCACTTGTTGGAAGTCTGGGTCACCTTGATTTCTTCATCTTTTCTCTACTTTTTATGTTACAAGTGTGGAGTGTTGGGTCAATGAAGCTTGGTTGAGCAGGATTTGGCCCTGGGGTGGTAGACAATAGTTGGCCAGTTAGAGGCAAGTGAGGCATGTGAGTTGCTTGGGCATGTTTGTCCATGAAGATGTTTGGTTCCTACTTTTGCATCTCCTTTGGGTGCGTGCGTTTGGTATGCAGATTAGGACAAGACAGAACAAAAACTTATCACTTTTTGAAGCGACAAAACAATTAGGGGTTGTTTACTTTTTTTCCCGTCAAGTCATGTATGGGTTAAGTTATCTGTCTAGATAAGTATGTCTGAATGAGGGACGAGAGACCAATGGGTATGAGGGAGGCAACAAGACAGGGTTGGATCATTTCTGAAGCATTTCTGGCATTAATTTGTTTGAGGTGGCTTAATGGGGATAAGTGAGGGGTCCTGGCTTATTCCATATAGCCATTTTTGCTTTAATGGCTTAACGATCAAGCCATAAAGAAAAACTCTGTATGGCTGAGCGATTAAGCCATCCAGACTCTTAAGCTCATTAAGCTGTAAGTAAAAAGCCCCTTAGACTGTGACAGGACAAGATCGAGTGGAACAAAAATGGGGGATATGGGACAAAATCAGTAAATTACTAAACTACCCAGGTCAAATTAAAACCTTAAAAGCTATTAAAATTCTTTTGCACGCCTAACTCACTATTGCAGTTCAATCCCATCATGTTCTGTGTGCGTACCAAATGCATTTGTGTGTTCTGCTTTTTGTCGGTTCTGATCTAGATTATATATTAGCTAGTCATCTCCTTTCACATGGTCCTTTAGATGATAAATTTTATTGATACATGCATCTTCATAACAATATGCTATGTTCTAGAATCTATATATCATACTTCAACAGAAAAACACACAAGGGGTCTTTATCAAGCTATTTTTCTGGGCTTTACTCGTGTTCTTGACTAATGAACATCAAGAAACACAGAAGCCCTTTTGGTCTGAGATGATAACCTCAGAGAAACACCATGAATTAGTTGAAAGATTTCTAAAATTCGACTGTTTTCAAAGAAAAAAGTTGAAAGATAAACTTACTATAACATGGAAATGATATAATTCAACTTATGGTCAAGTTTACAGCCTCATTAGACAAAACACACCATGTGATTCAGGATATATTGATATCTAACGGCTACTAGAAAGAAACCAACCATATTATCTCCCCTCCCCCTAATGTAACTTCATTGATGTAATCTTGATCACCGTGATCTCATGGTGACTCGAATCACACGGCTACCCCATATATACTCATTGTGATGGTATCTGCAGCGAAATGAACCTGGATGGCTTGTTGGAGAGCATAGACACTGGTTCGTCACCGCATGGGAGGCACCACCACCTCTGCCGCCATCTTCTTCTGCTACTACGATTCTTGGAGCTTGATCAGGTATGTACCACCTTGTCTTCATAAGGTTCTCCAAGCCAGAATAACAAGAATTCTGGTAACACATTTTCCCTTTCTTTAGAAGTTTTGGAAGTGAGGAAAGAATATATATTGTTATGTTGATTTTATATAGCATACCAATGAGAGGTAAGAAAGAAAGTTGGGCAAGTAAAGTTGGGTATAAAGAGAAGCCTTTAGAACAAATTCTTGCCAAGGAAAGGAATTGCTTTATGAGTGAAAAAAGATGGTGTTTTTTGTGATTATTTGTTGGGTGAGAAACCTGAGTCATCTGCAGCTCACTTGGCCAAACCTTTTGCCTCATAAAACATGGAGATTGATGTGTGGTGGCCCATCTTGCTTGCTTAACTTTTAGGAGTACTGTTCAGCCATTTATGGTTGTTGGTTCGAGTCTCTTCCAACGGGGATTTTCCTAGGTGTTATTTTCAGGGTCCATTGGATGACAGTTGTCTTTAGCGAACTTGTACTGTCATTTTTTTTACCTTGATGCATATAATAATAGATATTAGAGTAAATTACGATTTTCATTCCTATGGTTTGTTAAAAATTGTGATTTTTGTCCCTATAGTTCAGAAATTATGGTTTTCATCCCTATGGTTCGTAATTCATTGTTATTTTCGTCCTTATAGTTTACAATTTACAATTTATTGTTATTTTGGTCCCCGTGGCTTACAATTCTTTACCATTTTGGTCCTTTATAATATAATGTAGGAATTAACGCAGAAACTAAAATAACAATAAGTTACAAACCATAAGGACGAAAATTGCAATTTCCAAACCTAAGGGATGAAAATGAAATTTATTAACAAACCACGGGGACAAAAATCGTAATTTACTCTAGATATTACTTTTTACTGCAACCTATAAAATAATAGAAATCGAATTTTTTTTGTAGGGTCACTTCACTTGACCATCAATAATATTGGTGTGTTTTACATGTCTAGAATATCATATGATCAAATGATTTGGTGAATTGGTGGACATATGTTTGGAATATGATGCCTCCTTTGCATGATTAAATATTCATGAATATTGTTTGTAATTTCTTTTTCCTTTTTTTTGGTGGTTTACTTTTTCTATTTTAGGTGGTGTTTCAGAGCTTCAAATAAAAACGTCTCTTTGAAAAATGGTTAATTCTTGTTTGTGCGATGTGCTAAATTATATGAGAAAATTACCATTTTAATCATCTATTTGTAATCTTATAGTTTACATTTTGGTGAGATAAACCTGAGTTTGTTTGATTTTGTTTAGTCAGATGTTTGAAAGGTAGAAAGTTCATCAAAAACCACTACGATAAGCTAAATGCACACCTATTTATTGCTAAATGTACATGTATCTACTGATCTTTTTTTCTTACATACATTAATATCAAAACTTATTTTTTACATTTTTAGTATATGATCTAACCTTATTTTATTATCTATACTACCTTATAGAATATATTACCTAAAAGTCTTAAAAACAATTTTTAATGCATAGAGTACTACACATTTATGCATAAAGTCTTAAGGCCAACTCATAATGCATAAGATATTGGTTTTTTATGTATAAAGTCTTAAATCTCTTAACTACAACTTTACTAGCTTAAGGTACAAGTTGTCAATACCAAACTCCAACTCGGAATTTATCTTCCCAAGAGGCCACTCCCGTCATACGTCCCCAAGGCCCAAGACGACAATTCGCAAAAGATGTCGTCAAAACCATTATGTTATACAGTTGGGGTTCCACCCGATTCTTGCTTCCATCTCAACTCCTGATTCGATTCTCAATAGCTTCTCTCATACGGTTAGGGTTTCGCTTAATCTTCTCCCTTTTTGAGGTTAGTACTTGTATTCTTTGATCTCTTCTTGTGTTCTTCATCTCGATTTGTCACTTCTCGGTTTTGTTTACCTACCTGACTATCTTGAAATTTCTTAGTCTCAATGGTACATAACTTTGTTAAATGAATTTTGGGTTTTTTTTTCTTTGTCTATTTTGAGGTATTAGTTATTTTTGTTAGGTTAATATAGCTTTTGGTTGATTGAGTTACGTGTTGGTGGCATTTGGTAATTATTAAGAACATCCAGGTCCATTTTTGCTTGGTTTTACTTCATTGAAACAAAGAGAAGGTGATTCATCTTTTTTTTTCCCATGTAGAACTCTCGTTCATTTGGTCGTCTATTTTGCAGAACATCAACTCTTGCAAGTATGAAAATATTTACACACACCTTTGTTAGGTTGGTTTTCTTTCATACTGAGTCCTGGAATTTTGTACATGGTGTTTTTCTAATACCAAATTTTTTGAACATTCAGGACCAAAACCTTCAGCTTAAATGATTTTTTTTAATTAACCTGGATATCCAATCCGCTATGCGAGCCGACTAATCCCAGGGCGACCACCTGCTTTGCAGATAGCCCGAAGTCACCGCATTTGAACCTCCTTGGCCACAAGGGGATTTTTATTTCTCCTTGAATTTGAACATGGGACCTCCTGGTACTTTTGACCTTTGGAGCCAAGCTCAAACCAATCAGGCACCACCCTTGTGGTTAAGCTGGATATTGAATGATTTTTAAGTTCTAGTTATGTTTGATTAGTTACGTTAGTGGTCTTTGTCAAGTAAGTTTAGCCGTCTAAATTACTCTAACCTCTTCAAGTCTAAGCGCATATGGCACCTTTTCAAATCGCCCCGCGAAGACATGTTCCTGTGAGATTCCAGGTATTCTATAAGTGGATTTTGCTTAGTTACAAGTTCAGTTGATCTAAGGATGGAATGTAGAGTTTGTTGATTGCCAAGTTGACTTAGAGGGAAGACATGCCCATATGAGTTTGTGGATTGCCCAGCTGACTTAGATTGCTTTTCCCCTGCAATGGTATGACTTATTCATATGTTACCTTTCGTCAGTGTGGTAAGGGGAAGCTACCTGTGGAATCACCACTTCTGTGATGTGAGTCTGAGGGGTTGTTTGGCAATTGCTGAATGGTTTGGTGCAGAATGATTAAGTGGTCAGAATGATTAAGAGGCTCTCATGATATAGTGCAAAATGAAATATAATTGTTTGGTAATTGTATACAATGAAATTAGGGCTCTTAATGGTTAAGAGAGATCCATGATACAAAATCATTCAGAGGGTTTTAGAACCATTAAGAGGCAGACTTTTTTTTGCCAAACAAGATTCACCTCAACGATTAAGAGGTTGCCTCTTAATGGAACTATTCAGAGGTAAACAAACAACCAGATACCTGGTTATTTATATGTATTTCTATTCTAATTTCTATGTTATTATATTAGGCTGAAGTTCTTGAAAGATCAGCAAGGTTTATAACTTCCCATTAATCTGCCTCTTTGCTTGTCATCTTTTATTCATTTGGTTTTTTATACACGATGAGGTACTACATATCGTATATAGTTTACCATTTCACACGAGGCACCTGAATGAGAAATAAATGCCAAGAATCGAGTGATTTACGTCTTATGAACGTTTCTAGATTAGCTTTTGGCACTTAACAAATACTAAAATGTTCAAAATTTCCAGTTGACGTCCTTGCAGGCTGAAGTCGGACCGAACATCCAGGAAGCACATGCTTTTTCCACAGGAGATCATGTATTTGTTGTTGATGGATGACGATATCAGGTATCCTCGTGTTCTTTCACTTATGTGAAATAAGAAGCTTAGTTGCATAAACTTGCTGTTTATGGTTTAAGTTAAGCACTTATTGCCTGTCATTCTTTTACTTAACTTATCGGGTATGATGTTAATGTATTAAAATGACATCATATGCAACATTTTTATCCGGTAAGCGCTTACCAAGGAAGAGTCATTGCTTTCACTTACCGCGTAAGACTCTCGATTATTGTCTTCGCTCTTACTGGATAAGATTCTAAGTCTTTTCATATTCATCTGATAAGGTAAAATGCGCTTACCGGGTAAGAATTTAATAAACTGCCCCTTAGTTTAAATTTGAGGGTCAAATTGACAGTTTATTAAATTGTTTTTTTATATCGGGTTACCTAGGGGCCGTTTACCAAACGTTTACCCGGGTAAGTGTTCACCAAGTCACATTACCTCACGGATGAATATGGTAAGGACCAATAATCTTACCCAGTAAGAGCGAGACAAGGACCAAGAGTCTTAGAGGCCGTTTACTAAACGCTTACCCGGTAAGTACTTACCGGGTAATTTTCCTCACCGGATGAACATGGCAAGGGCCAAGAATCTTACCCGGTAAGAGCGATGATAAGGATGGAAGTCTTACCCGGTAAGTGAGGGTGACGACCCTTACCCGGGTAAATGCTTACCATGTAAATTGTTGTACATGATACGTTTTGATGTACTACAAATCTTACCCAATAAAATGAAATTATAGTGTTGACTCCTGGCATTAAGCACTTACTGGATAAGCATTTAAGTAAACGACCCCTTATTATTAATATATTCAACTTTAATAGCCAGATTGACATATTATTGACGATTGATTGGATTTCTTTTAGCACTTATTTTGGCAGTGTTCATATGCTCTTTCTAAGGTTGTTTTCTACCACTATGGTTTCCTTATGCCCGTGTTGTCAATTGTCATATAGATTCGACATATCAGGAGATGAAGATGGTGTTTGTTTTTTAAGAGGTGCTGAAGTCTGAAATCTTATTTTCCTTCTGATTTATAAGAGGTGGTACTAAAGTCTGAAATCTTATTTTCTTTCTGATTTATAAGAGGTGGTACTAAAGTCTGAAATTTGAATCAATAACACTGTTTGCTTTTGTAAACTGATAAACGTCTGAATTTGTTTAAATTGTTTATTTTACCCGTTAAAAATTATTTATAGATAAATTTATACAATTTCACATATTTATTTATCATCATTATGAAATTTACATCTAAATTATATAATTAACATTCATTTAAACGAAAATATGTCATTAACGGTGTTTAACACATTTACATCATATTAAAATATATTAATTAAAAGAGGTGAGAATTGATTTAGTAAGGATCGATTGAGAGAAATGATCTTGAGAAACGTCGTCGTTGAGGATTTGAAGAACAATAGGAGGCAAATAAGAGGTTGGTTTATCTTTTATCAGACAAGAGAAAAATAAGACATAAGTGCCTTTGAAAAATTAAAAAAAAAAAACAAACAGTCTGAATGACCTTATCTCTTAACGAATCAGATATAAGAGGCTGATAAGAGATTTTTTTATTAAAAACAAACAAGGCCGAAGTGAACAAACATGGGCTAATTTTGTGAAACCATTTTATGAGATATAGTGTTTAATGTTTTAAACCGGTAAGAGGGTTGATATAGTGGTTTCAGATACCTGAAGAACTCATGTTCTTATTACACTCATTACTTTCCTTGTTTTTGACTTTTTGTGATTAAGCACTGTGTAGGGTATGACGCGTGTATTTACTGTTGGCAAATACCAGCAACCGAATAAAAGATTTAATAAGGAAAAGTTTTTATTGATACTGTTGGCCGGTTTCAGAAGTTGTCATAGTTTTACTTATGATCTTGTCTTCTATGTTTCTTTGATGTGAGGTACGCACTTAAATGTTGCAACATTCTTGGAAAAGCATGTCTCTATTTTATCGACTTACAAAGAAAATATTTTGTAGGTGTTTTTTTTTTTTATCTTCCAAAACAATCGATCGCTGCTATGAAACATCATATAACCCTTTTTGGTTGTATGTGTCATCTCAATTGTGTTACGTGATTAGTAACAAGTCTTCTTTCTCAAAGATGGTAAGCGTTGTAGATTGTGTTTCTTGAATACTACGATCATTGTCAAATGTAAAGACCTTTCTTCACTTTCAATTTTAGTTCGCAGAATTGCGTTTTAATTTTAAATGTGATAAGGTATTAAGTTGTGGTAAATTTTCTTCTTCAATTTACATCCTGTCGCACTGTACAGTTACACAACTAGTATGTAAATATGTGAACAAATTATTGATTTAAGTCGTAAACAAACATATTTATACATGTGAACAAATAACTTGTTCATACATTTTTTTTATTAACCTGGATATCCAACCCGCTATGCGAGCCGACTAATCTTAGGGCGACCATTTGCTTTGCAGATAGCCCGGAGTCATAGCATGTGAACATCCGTGGCCACAAGGGGATTTTTATTCCTTCTTGGATTTGAACTTGAGACCTCCTGGTACTTTTGGAGCCAAACTCAAACCAATCAGGCACCATCCTTGTGGTTTTGTTCATACATTTCATGTCATGAAGTTAAAAAAAAACGTGGTTGAAGATAGAGATACATGTGGATTGGGCTTTTTCGGACCCAAACCTTTCAAGCTAATTTTCAATCATAAAAGCCCCCCAAAGTCTTCTGACTTAATTGGGCTTTAAATACGTTTGGTTCTAAAATTCTCTGAATGATTTTGTATTATGAGTTTCATTTAATTATCTAACACCCTAATTTCATTGTAAACAATTATCAAACTATTTTATTTCATTTTACATTATATCATGAAAGTCTTTTAATAATTATAACCACTTAATCATTCGATACCAAACCATTCAACACTTATCTTAGTTAAATTGTGGCTGGTCTATAAAATAGAGATCACTTCTATTTTGTGCAAAAGGCTGCTATGAATTATTAAATGCAATCAAAGGCGGCTTTCTTCTAACTTTAAAAAACTATATTTCACGGTCAATCACACCAAATATCTTGAATTTTCCAAAATAAGTCTTTTAAGGTAGTTTTTTTTTTTAATATTCGAATTTACCTTTTTTTTAGATATATTAATTATTTTTATTTTAGTAACATTTCATTCATAAAATGTATTCATTAAATGACTCTTAAGTATTTTTTAAATAATATTAAATGTTTTTATTTTGTAAAAAATGAAAATAAAAAAAAAGTCTAGAATATGAAGCAAGTTGACAAATCAACGACCTTTGAATATCAAGAGGTTCTAGAAATTATTGTCAACAATCTCCCATCTATTCGCCACGTGTCACCACTATTGCCCTTTAATATCAGTTATGATTCAGTCTACGCATATTTAAAACGGGTAAAACCTTAAAAAAGTCCCTTAAATCCACCCTAAAAAAATATGATTCTTAAAATCAACCAAAAAACTAAAAAATTCTTAGAAACATTGGAGTTCGACTAACCATCGGACTTGTGACTAGGGCATAGTCTTGCATCTTGTTCAAATAGGCATGGGAATGAGATTCGCTCCCACTGGAAAACCCGATGCATCCTCCTCGACAGGGATTGGAGATAGGGACGGGGACGTGATCTCTGACCTGCCCGTCCCACATATTAAATATATTGTATATTATTATTAAATATATTATATATAAAGAATTAGATATAGTATTTTTTTTAAACTTAAAAATATTATTTTGATATTTTTTATTATATATTTTTTTTCTAACATGTTTTACCTTTTTACATAACCGAAAGCATTAAACAATTACATATGATATTGTTAACATATGAATATCTGATACTCGAAAAAAGAAAAATTGTGAAAATATGTGAGATTTAAACATAAGTCATTTTGGATCGAGTGTGATGTTTAACATATTTGATTTAAATTATCTCATCATATAAACAAGAGAAAAAATCCCTATTCCACAGTGGGAATCCCTGTCTGTTCCACATAAAAATGATGTCAAACATAAAAAAATGATCCCTATTCTATTTTGTCTCGTATACCGAACACACTTTAGACTGCGTTTGGTACATGAGACGAGACAGGACGAGACAAAACTCATTGTCTCATGTTTGACGCAACATATGACAGAACAAGAACTCATTGTCCCACGTTTGGCGCAACGTGGGACAAGGACAAAAACTGGGACAAGATGGGACAGCATGGTACAAAAGAGGTTTTTTTTTTGTTCCACCAAAATAGGTGGAACAAGATGAGACATGTATTTATGGACCTCCACCATAACCAAAACCACCTCCACCACTGCTACTACTACCATCAATTATATCAAAATTTTCATTCAAATTTGGTACAAATATGAAAATTATGTACAAATATTTATAAATTAAATTATTTACTTTATTTGTGTCAATTATAACTATTATATAATATTTAAAATCGTCAAATAACTTTCCTGTCTCGTCCAGTCCTAGTCCTACCAAACACCAGATATATTTCTATTATGTCCAGTCCTATCTTCTTATCCTGTCCTTTCCAGTTTTATCCAATCCTATCTGCATACCAAACGCTACCTTAAAGATAATCCGTTAAAAAAAAAAGAGGTCGTATGTTTTGGTCTCTTTATTCGTTTCGCGTAGGAAACGAGTCAACACGTTGGCTGGCAGGCAGTCAAATAAATCTCCTGTCCGCGTGCCTTCCACCTTACTGTATTCCCCTTGAACTTTCATTTCATCTTCTCCAAATTCCCCATTATTTATACTCACCCCATCTTCAAAATCTCTCATTCATTCATCCATCCATCGTCTCAACCTCCTATTATTCATATACGATTTCAAAACTCCTGTGTCAACTCACTGAATCGTTTTTTCAATTTCAACTCGAAGATGGTGAATTCGATCTCATCGGTTGTTGTAGCTCTGATTGGATTCATGTTCATGGCTGTATTTGATGTTAATCAAGCTCAAGAATTCGCTCCTTCGCCTGCTCCAATTCTTCCGTCTAATGATGGAGCAGCCATTGATCAAGGAATCGCGTATCTTCTTCTGCTTTTTGCACTCGCAATTACTTATCTGGTTCATTAAGTTCCGATTTTCTGTTCTTATTTATTTCTAGATCTGTATTCATGTTCGTATCATATAATTCATTCTACTCCTAGATTCTTTCAATTCGTTTATAGATGCTCGAAATTGGTGGACTTTCGATTTTGATTTGACGATTTTATGAAGGATTTTGATTCATGATTATCGAAGAAACATCAATCGAACTTGTATGAATCAGATCGTAACTAATGATGGATTCTCTTTATCTTGATTTGAGATTGATTTGCCCTTTTGTCAATTTTGCTGTCCATTTGAAGATTGTTTCTTAGGAAAACACGTTAAATTTAAAATCAAAAGCAAAAAAACAAAATGATGTTGAAAAATGTTCCGGTTTAAAATTGGAAATTTCAAAGATCAAATTGCATAAAAAAGTAATGTATTTTAATTTGATTTTTATTTCGGGAAACTTTTATTTTGGCATTTAACATGTAAAGTTTTAAACATTTACGGGTTATCATGTTGATGTGGCGAGTATTGTGATATCTAATTCAGTATTCTTTGTTGACGTGCTTAATGATATGATTTTTTAAAATTTAAAATTAGGGGGTGTTTGAGATTGTTTATTTAAAATAACTTATGTTTTTTTTGTAAAAATTCTTATTAACTTATGTGTATTAAATCGGAGTTTTGCAAAAACTGTTTGGATTAACTTATAGTGGTACCAAAAACTATTTGGAGTTATGCAAAAACTGTTTGATTGGTTTGAGTTTTAGCTCCAAAGGTCAAAAATGTATGAACGCCCCAGGTTCGAATTTAATAAGAAATAAAAATCCTCTTGTGTCCACGGAAGTTCAAATGCGGTGACTCCGGGCTACCCGTCGAAACCGATGGTCGTTCTGGAGTTAGTCGGTTCGCATAACAAGTGGTCACCCTGAAATTAGTTGGGTTATATAACGAGTTAAATATTTATG